AAAATTATGAAACAGAAGCCCTGTTGTATAATCACCAACAATGAGTAAGACGATTTATTTTGTCATTACCGTTGTATAATTTCTTTTGTTACGTCATATTTTTGTGGTATTATGAAACAACACGTTGTTCCATCCGTAAAGACCCATTTATCTCACATTTGTAGTATGTACAGCTATAAATACATTGGAATAGTAGAACTGTTCTTAGATCGAGGGAAGTAAGATCTATTTTAAAGGGTAGCGCCCCGGTGTGTCTTCTGACCCCGTATACGCGCCGGTGATTCCTCTAGATACGTATGGTACGCGCAGAAATTTTTCCGAAGCACCGGTGTCGAGAGGAACACGTTTCTCTTTGCTTTTTCTCGCGCACGCAAGACCATCCGTACCGTACCTCATCGTTCGTCTTACGGAAACTTTTTTCTATTTATCCCCTCTATTTATCTCATCTAGTGCGGTCGCAACTTAGCCTCGACCTCAGCATTCTTTCATTGAGGTCTTAACCACGTGCGATTTAATTCACGATGCCAAATTTACGATCATTGGTAAGTCCATGCAAATCGATAAAGAAAAGCTTCTTGGCTCGAACACTTAGGAAGAGTTAATCACCTGCTTTGATTTCGTTCGATTATGAATAACCTCGAGAATTCGACTTCCTGAAACTAATTATTCATTGTTTCATAGTAGCTATTAATTTTATTAATCTGTTCATGCATCCGGATTGAGTAATCAACATTTGACGTGAAATCTATTAATGTTTGTGAGATGGCAATCATGTTGTCATTAAGGGAATCGTAAAATTCCACTACTTTCATAGAAGTTAATAATTAATCAAGGAAATACATAGACCTTTATAGTTTTTAAATACTCAATTTTAAAATATGAATTTTCCAGGTTTTACCTATATTGGCTGCTGTGGGAACAATAGCTGTAATAGGATTAGCAGTAAAATTATACAAAAGCTGGAGCAGTGATAAGAAAAAGAAATCCCCGATTTTATTAGTTGATCCAGTTGTTAAGTACAGTTTACCTTTAATGCAGAAGGATGTAATAAGCCATGATACGAGGAAGTTCAGGTTTAAGTTGCCAACATCGGATCATGTGCTGGGATTGCCGATTGGCCAACATGTACATATAACAGCAAAAATTGGAGAGGAAGTTGTTATACGTTCTTATACGCCTGTCTCAAGTGACGATGACCAGGGCTATGTAGATCTTGTTATTAAGGTAAATAGGAGACTATATAACAACGCGCATTTTATTATTACTATTATTATTCTTATTTATTTCTCTAAAACTCCTTATGTTCCCTACATTTTCTGTATCACCTCTGTACTCTCCATCTATCTAATAATCAAATATCACTAATCTAATATCAGGCTGGAACCTTACCCCTCTTCAATACATATCGTTGTTTTCCCTCCACATGGATTTTATTATAAAAATTTCAAGTAAACAATTCGTAGGTCTATTTCAAAAATGTGCATCCGAAATTCCCTGAAGGAGGAAAACTGTCTCAGTACTTAGATAACTTAAAGATTGGAGAAACGGTAGATTTCAGGGGACCTTCTGGGAGGCTCGTTTATAAAGGCCAGGGGAAATATTGTATAAAAATTTTAAGGAAGGATCCACCAGTAGAATATAACGTTAAAAAGGTACGTCCATTAAATTTGCTGAAAATACATTGTATGAAAATAAATGTTCTTTTTTAATACCAACGCAGGTTGTAATGTTGGCTGGTGGGACAGGAATCACGCCTATGCTGCAGTTAATACGTGCTATAGTAAAAGATCCTACGGATGAGACTCAGGCTTCTCTACTTTTCGCTAATCAAACGGAGAAAGACATATTACTGCGAGACGAATTAGACGATATTGCGAAAAATCATCCTAATAAGTTAAAACTGTGGTACACAGTAGACAGTAGCAGCGAGAACTGGCCGTACAGTACAGGTCACATAAACGCAGATATGATAAAAGATCATATGTTCCCTCCGTCTCCTGATACGTTAGTACTTATGTGCGGCCCACCTCCGATGATCAATTTCGCTTGTAATCCGAATCTCGACAAACTCGGTTACGACTCGAAACTACGATTCGCATATTAAAGCGACGAATTACTCTGTCGCTACATTCGATGCATTGTAGATCGCATTCGGCTTTTTTAGTACCTACGTCCTCTTGTTAAAATTCATTACACTAATTTTTTTCACAGTGTTCTTTTTATAATTTTCTACCGAACAATTGTTCGTGAATATCGAATGTCAAATGACTTGGCAATACCGGTTGATACAAATTAGATATGATAATATCTTCATATCAATAGT